AGTGCAGAGTTGTACTCGTGCCAAGTCTGATGCTAGCCCCACTTCCGACCCTGGGCTAGTGACGTCATCAAGACTGAGGAGGGGGGGGGTTTATTTTAAGCATGTGACATGGGGGGGTTAACAATGGGGGGGCTTAAAAAAAGCATTACAGAGGAGAGATGGGGGGGGGCAAGATACATGCACTCATGACCTCACATATGTCCTCAAGTGCAGCTGTATGGCACTACGGTACAGCTGCATTACGGCTGCTAGCTGCAGTACAAATGTATAATGATAATTTCGATTACAATGTAAGGTTTTCACTGCGGCAAATTGATAGCAGCAATTTGCATGTGAAAGATTTTTTTAATAAAGCGAATACAGGCACGAAATTACAATTTCGTGTACAATTACAATTTCGAATTATAATTTCGAAATTACAATTTCGTGTCGCACTGTAATTACAATGAGCAATTGGTGTTCAAACAATTCAAACAAACAAAACTACGTGTGAAAACAATTCTAAGTGACTTTTAAATAGTCACTTCGAATTAAGTAGTCACTTTTACTTTTTAAACAATTCTAAGTGACTTTTAAAAATAATGTTCGTTTCCTATATTTTTCACAATTCACGAATTAACTTTGATTTCTTTGCTATTGCAATTTAAATAGTCACTTCAAATTAAGTAGTCACTTTTACTTTTTAAACAATTTTAAGTGACTTTTAAAAATAATGTTCGTTTCCTATATTTTTCACGATTCACGAATTAACTTTGATTTTTTCGCTATTGCAATTTAAATAGTCACTTAAAATTAAGTAGTCACTTTTACTTTTTAAACAATTCTAAGTGACTTTTAAAAAAAATATTCGTTTCCCATGTTTTTCACAATTCGCGAATTAACTTTGATTTCTTTGCTATTGCACTGAGCAAGCGAGCTTGGCTCAAGAATCCGTTGTCAACTTTAGCATATTCAGCGGTGTGTTTTGTTCATCGCATTATTTATTTTCTCTATTCACATTTATAAATGTTTAAACGCCATTTAAATGAACAAAATACGCGCGTATTTAGTTATATAAATGCGCTTCAAATAAAATATGCTTCGGTTTCAACATCCAGCGATATTGAAATACAGTTTAGGAGTCGATAAGTTCTCGCGTGTAGCTGTATTATCTTACACCAGATTTTCGCCTCATATTTTTGATGTCATTTAAAAGAATACTTGAGAGTTCCAATATATTGTCTGAAATTTGCATCAAACCGCGTCTTGCAAAAAAGATTAAACAGAATAAAATATTGCATGAATTATGTCATTTAAACTAAAAGAATACTTGGGAGTTCCAACGTATAGTCTGAAATTTGCATCAAACCGCGTCTTGCAAAAAAGATTAAACAGAATAAAATATTGCATAAATTATGTCATTTAAACTAAAGGGATACATGAGAGTTCCAATATATAGTCTGAAATTTGCATGAAACAATGTCACTCAACTTAACAAAAAAGATGCAGAAAACAGTACAAAATAATGCATAAATGTAATAAAAGAATTCAGTTGCAAAAAGAAAACAGATCAAATAATGCAGAAATTTAATAAAGGAATTCAGTTGCAAAAAGAAAACAGAGCATAATAATGCATAAATGTAATAAAGGAATTCAGTTGCAATAAGAAAACAGATCAAAATAATGCATAAATGTAATAGAGGAATTCAGTTGCAAAAAGAAAACAGATCAAAATAATGCATAAATGTAATAGAGGAATTCAGTTGCAAAAAGAAAACAGAGCATAATAATGCCTAAATGTAATAAAAGAATTCAGTTTCAGTTTTTTGCAAGGTTCCTTCAGTCTCCACTAACGTCATTATGTCTTTAGCTATAAATATCGTCGCTAGACGCAGTTTGCAGCCTCAGAATAGATTATGATAATTTTATTGCCTCAAATGCGCTTTTAAAATCTGAACATTAAAGGGATGCCTAAAAAATAAAAATTACTCTCGAGCGCGCACAAACTCGTGAATAATAAATTTCGATGTTATCACGATCTTGTGACATCAGGGGCCATTCTTTCAAAACTCGCTAAGTGAACGTAAGTACTTACGTTCTATTTTCTTGTCTATGATTGGTGGATTTTGCTTGAAAGGCCGTCAATGATTGGCTGATGAACTTACGATCTCTTAACTTTTTTTGAAAGTATAGGCCCAGGACTTGAAAAATTTTAGACTGCTGTAACAATAGACGTAGTTTTACTTAGAAAGTAGACGTAGTTTTACTCAAAAGTAGACGTAGTTTTACTCAAAAAATTTGACGTAGTTTTACTCAAAAAGTATAAGTAGTTTTACTCAAAAAGTAGACGTAGTTTTACTCAAAAGTATTCGTAGTTTTACTCAAAAAATAGACGTAGTTTTACGCAAGAAGTATAAGTCGTTTTTCTCAAATAGTAGACGCAGTTTTACTCGAATAGTAGACGTAGTTTTACTCAAAAAATTAGACGTAGTTTTACTCAAAAAATAGACGTAGTTTCACTCAATAAGTATAAGTAGTTTTTCTCGATAGTAGACGTAGTTTTATTCAATAGTAAACGTAGTTTTATTCAATAGTAGACTTAGTTTTACTCAATATAGTAGACTTAGCTTCACTCAATAGTAGACGTAGTTTTATTCTATAGTAAACGTAGTTTTACTCAAATATAGTAGACGTAGTTTTAGACATTAGTAGACGTAGTTTTTCTCAATAGTAGACGTAGTTTTACTCAATAGTAGACGTAGTTTTACTCAATAGTAGACGTAGTTTTATTCAATAGTAGACGTAGTTTTACTCAATAGTAATCTAGATGTGTATAAGAGACAGAGGCACTAGACACCAGCTGCAGGCCACTAGACACCAGCTGCAGGCACTAGACACCAGCTGCAGGCACTAGACACCAGCTGCAGGCACTAGACACCAGCTACAGGCCACTAGACACCAGCTGCGGGCCACTAGACACCAGCTGCAGGCACTAGACACCAGCTGCGGGCCACTAGACACCAGCTGCAGGCACTAGACACCAGCTGCATTTGCAGCCCGGTGACCAGCCTGAATATTAGGGCCGATTTAAGGCCGGCCGTTCGTCGCCTAATGTTTGGCCACCTATTTTTGGTCTAATGAATCATAATTGGGCAGATGATGGACAGTAATTTGTGCTTATGAAGAGCTTCTTTTGTGGTGGTGGTGTGTGGTGGTGGTGGTGGTGGTGGTGGTGTGGTGATGATGGTGGTGGTGGTGTTGTGGCGGTGGTGTTGGTGGTGTGATGGTTGTGGTGACGGTGAGGTTGTGATGCGGGTGTTTGCTTGCAAGTAAACAGAAGAAGGTCTTAATTTTGACGTACCCATTCTACTAAATATCGTATCCTATCTTTTAAAGGAATATTTTCCTCTTAAATTCACAGCCAATACATCCAAACTAATTCCATGTTACCGTTTTCACCATTGCATACCGTTCGTTTTGCAAAGAACTATTTTAAAGAAAATGGAACGAAAAATCTTGCATTTAAATCCTTCGTCGACGAATATACATACGTTACAATATTTTTAAAACCCTGAACTTGTATTTAAAACATACATTTTTTGACGACAAGCTAAACCGTTGCGTTCATTTCCCTTCATGTCACCGCAGGTCCGTTCAATAGAACACCCAACGCGGTCAACAAAATTTTATTAATTGATTCAATTAAAAAGTGAACTACCTCTTGTTTGAAATGCTGGCATGCAAATGACATACAAACGACCGAAATCTCTTTCATTTTGAACTTGCAGCGGGGCTGAAAAAATAAGGTCTTTGATATGAAGGTCGGGTCAATTTTCCGGCCTCGGTCATATTTTTTTTCTTTTTCTTTTGATGTTTTCTGTGATTTGATAATACATACAAATTTGCCGCAGGTTTTTTGAGGTAATTGAGCTTGTGTGCGAGAGAGACAGTTTGCCGGCCGAGTTAATCTGAACGTTAGAATTTATTTTAGGACCCTTGACTAACCAATACCTGATATTTTTCAGTAAAAAATAGTAAAAAATAGTAAAATATCTATACGGAAATATAAATAAACATGTGTAATTTATTATGCAGCTGAGTGTGTAATAATAATTATGTAACCCAAGCAAACTCCATTAATACAGTTTAAAACAAATTACAAGAACAAACAAATAATTCTACAAACAGACTTAGTGCCGGCATTCTTATCATTAGAGGCAGTTACATGGTAAAATGGTACATTAACTACTTCAAAATTTGTTATTTTAAATTTGAATCTTTCAGCAGTGTCTTTGTGGCAACAATGAAAATAGTTTGATTGAAAAAATTTTTTAAAAAGATATATTTAGCAGGTGTCCACAAAAATATCGTAACTAGATGACTCATTTCCAGAAGCCTCGTTTTCGCTTCATGTAATATATACGGTATCCGTTATCATAGGGTGGCATATTCGTTTTATATTCGTCGTATATTTGTAGTATATTCGTTTTATATTCGTTAAATATTAGTTGTATATTCGTCGTATATTCGTTGTATATTCATTGTATATATGTTGTATACTCGGTGTATATTCGTTGTATATTCGTTGTATATTCGTCGTATATTTGTTGCATATTCGTTGTATATTGGTTGAATATTCGTTGTATATTCGTCGTATATTTGTTGTATATTCGTTGTATATTGGTTGAATATTCGTTGTATATACGTTGTATATGCGTTGTATTTTGGTTGAATATTCGTTGTATATACGTTGTATATTCGTTGTACATATGATTGATTGCTTACGTCAACTATTGCAAAAAGAAGATTGTGTTGTTAGTAACTCCAGTGTTATTTATGGACTTGCTGACGGAGATGCTAAATGCTTATTAAATTCAAAAATTTCTACTGAATATAAGCTGAATTTTATGACCATATCAGGAAAAAAGGCACACGCACAAAGCTTACTTCAAAGGAAAAAATAAAGGAAACAAACTTCAAGGAATTTTGAAATTAATAGAAAAAAAGGCATAAAAATTAGGCTAAAGCCTTTTTCCTACCTCCTCCTTGAGTCTGTCCACCTCCTGCTCGAGGCTAGCCACCTGGGCACGCAGGCTAGCCTCCTGGGCACGCAGGCTAGCCTCCTGGTCTCGCAGACTAGCCTCCTGGGCATGCAGGCTGGCCTCCTGGTCACGCAGGCTAGCCTCTTTGGCACGCAGGCTAGCCTCCTGGTCACGCAGGCTAGCCTCCTGGGCACGCAGGCTGTCCTCCGACTCGCCCGTCTGCCGCCGCCAATCTGCAGCCTGCGCCTGCAGCCTCGCCTGATGCAGCGCCTCGGCGCCCTGCAGCCTCGAGCTCAACGTCGCCTGCGCGTCCTGTAGCTCCTTGACCTGCTTCTCGTGGGCCTGCACAGCTGCCCTGCGGAGCCGACAATTTAAAGGGGCACTAATATATATTAGTTCACTCAATATATTAGTGCAGGGCAGCTTCTCGTGGGCCTGTACAGCTGCCCTGCAGAGCCGACAATTTAGAGGGGCACTAACATATATTAGTTCACTCAATATATTAGTGCAGGGCAGCTTCTCGCATGGGCCTGCAGAGCCGACAATTTAGAGGGGCACTAATATATTTTAGTGCGCTCTACGTCTTATTCCGTATATACTCTATGAAGGCATGAATCATTAAATTTTTCATGAAATAATTCTCTTCATCATTTATGAAAAATCATAAATAATTTTTATGTAAAATGAGCAGTGAGCCGTCTATGTAATATTGTAGTTACCGCAATTTCTGCGTCCGGTGTCTTTGCATGCTATCGGAAAATTTCAGAACCGAATCATGAATTTCTTTCAAATATTCCATTAATAATTCATATATTCCATTCTTTCATATATTCCAAATTGAAAATACGCAGAACATCCCATATTAAATGCCATTAAGTTACAATGGACCCACAGACACATTAAAGCACATTGAAAACCTCGTACTAGCACAGAGACATTTAATATTGGATAACTGTCTCGGAGACTTCGAGAATTTTCTCTGGAGATATTCAAATAATAGCGTAATTGGACATCGAGTCTCGTTCAGGGAGAACTACCCCCACTCTGTCAAGGTTTTTTGTTAGTTTTGGCAGTTCGTGTAGAATTACAACCAGCACGATCCTTGTCTGGATAGAACATCAGCCTCTAATAACTCATCACAACTCATTAATTTTACCTGAACATCCCACGCGGTGATCAGGGGTAACTTTTACGAACTAATATGTACACGATTAAAAGATGACCGACTTGATCGGAATAGAAAAATACACATTTAACGCGTTAATCTAATAGAAATGAAAGTTCGAATCACGGGTAATTTTTAACTTCACAAAGAAAACTAAAGTAAGTCTTGAATCAGCTCGCAAAAAATAATTTAGTTAAAGAAAAATGTTTCACTTGTATTTTGGAGCCAAGTCGAATCTACGGTAGCAAGAGGAAGAGAAATTTATTTTAGGATTAAATAAAGCAAAAAAAGTTGTACTTCGCATAAAATATACGCTAATGTGAAGCTATAGTTTCCACTTCGGTATTTTGCAACACTGCTTTACAGAAGTTATCCTGTTTCATTTAATTGAAATATTTTTTTATCCCCGCATCTTTGTAGGTAGATTCCATACATGAAATGCTGATTGATGCAACAGTAATAACTGATGCCTACACAGTATTTATGTTATCTGTGCTTCCGATAAATAAAGTGAACGTTATAGGCCTCGACGTTCCTTTTAAAGCGCGCGGAACGGGAAGCAACATTCGCACGGATTTAGAAGCAATTTTAAAACACGGATTGGGAAGTGAGCGACATAACGTAATGAGCCACATTCAATACAAACACCTAGGCCCACACATCATCACTACACTCACAAACATAATAAACATTCCATACATCAGTTGCATCATACCATCAATCTGGACAACTGACAAAATCATTACCCTCCTGAAACCAAACAAACCCCCTCCCCAAAGATCTGCTTACAGTTGCAAACCATGGCTGAAACACTTCACCTGACAGTTAAATACAACACACTGTGTCACCAGCTTGTAGCCGTAGGTGAAAAACCTTTACTAGCAGCAGTACCATAGTAGCACCACACCTTGAAACAGTACTCTAGCTTGTAGTCGTAAGTGAGATACCTTCAAGTAGCAGATGTTCCTAGTAGCACCATACCTTGCAACCGTACTCTAACTTTCAGCCGTAGCTGAAGTGCCTCTACAAGCAGCAGTACCTAGTAGCATCACGCCTTGCAACCGTACTCTAACTTGCAGCCGTAGGTGAAGTACCTTTACTAGTAGCAGTACCTATAATAGCACCCCACCTTGCAACCGTATTCTAACTTGCAGCTGTATGTGAAATACCTTTACTATAGCAATAGTACCAAGTAGCGCCACATCTTTACTAGCAGTACCTAGTAGCACCATACCTAGCAACCGCACTCTAGTTTGTAGCCGTAAGATACCATCAAGTTACAGGTGTTCCTAGTAGCACCACACCTTGCAACCGTTCTCTAGCTGGTAGGAACACTAGAAAAAACTGCCCAGTTTTGGCTCGTTCGTCTCTCTCAATCATGGCCTAAATTGAGGCCACTCGCGCTCCATCTCGCGCCATCGTTTCTCATCCAAAATTCGAGCAAAAATTGTCTCAACGCCACGAGGCCGCGGAGCAGAAAATTGGTCTTCTTAATCAGCGAGAGGATCGAGGCTGGCCTGATTTCAGCTCCTGAAGGGACTCAATGAGAACGATCTCTTCCACTTGGCTTGATGGTCCATAAGGTCCTCATCATGCAATGGAGTCTTTCAAGCGAAAAACATCATCGAAGTTTCAAAAATTTGGCAAATTTGCCATTTACTGCAATGTTTTTAGCGCATTTTCTCATTCAAGCGAAAGACATCATCGAAGTTTCAAAAATTTGGCGAGTTTGCCATTTACTGCAATGTTTTTAGCGCATTTTCTCCTTTATGGGAAAAAGGCGTTATTGGGCTCGTCATGTCCATCCGGGACTGTCTACCTTGACTTCACAAAGCGGATGGACGAGAAAATGCGCTCTCTGTCACTCACCGCAGTGAGTGCTGATCTAATTTTTTTAATTATTTTATGTTATAGTATCAGTTTTTTATTCTAAATCTTAAAGATGGAACTTTTTTCCGTTAATAAATCTTTATCAATTCAAGCAGTTATTTTGACGTCTATGATTAAACTCCGATACAAAAAACACGAGCATCTGACATATTTGCGTTGTCATTTTTATCTAAAGTGAATTTGAAGATTATTCGATCGTTAGTACACACAAAAACATTATCCAGATACCAAAATGTGTTCATTCGAGTTCAAAATTACACCCGTTTGTTTGGGTGAGGTGGAGTTCAGGCGCCATACTTTCAAAACTCGCTAAGTGAATGTAAGTACTTACGCTCTATTTTCTTGTCTATGATTGGTGGATTTTGCTCGAAAGGCCGTCAATGATTGGCTGATGAACTTACGATCACTTAACTTTTTTTGAAAGTATGGCCCCAGGTGTGCAAGTTTAAACGGGCTGAGCGCGGCAGTAGCATGGTAAGATAGCGGAGCAGCTCAGGTATAATCTTTGGACAAGAGAGTCTAAAAACTCAAAAACAGGACCAAATTATTTAGAGTACTTATTACTTATATTTCTTATTCATTTTTTCCTTGAAATTTAGACAGGAATATATTAACATCTACCACTATTTTAAAATTTGATGCCACATGACCAGTGACCATTTATCTAACCTGTATATTCCAAATTTAATAACATTTCTTCAGGGTTCATGTCGAACTCTGAGCTTCCGCTCAGAGTTCGAAGCCTCTGGTCAAATTGTGACCTCCGTATAGTTCGGCTCAGCTAACCCTTCTCACACTTTCAGGCGAGTAAAAAATCGAAAAAGAGATTCTGACCGGAAACTGATTTCTATTGGGTAGCCAAACATAACGAGAATAACTGAAACCTTAAAGTAACGACCCAATTGTTAAGGCGGTACCCGAATTTTCTTAGTTTAGGGGCGAAATGGTTAGGGTATATAATTGGTAATAAGACTTAATGATAAGAAAACATGATAAATGATGAAATGTCATGATATTGATAGAAGATTCCGCTCACCTTAATCTATCGTCGTATATTTGAGCGTCACGCCGCTTTTCATCCTCGAGCTGCCTTATCATGTCGTCCTTCTCTCTTATCTTCTCATCCTTCTCTCTTATCTTTTGATCCTTATCTCGTATCCTTTGCTCCTTATCTCTCTTATCCTGCCCGTGCCTGATCCTCTCTTCGTCTGCCTCGTGCTCCTTCAGCTGCAGCTTCAGCTGAAATCAAGCAACTGCATCAACTGAGGGTCATAGGCTTGACTGAAATCAGGCAGCTGCATGAACTGAAGCTCATAGGCTTGACTGAAATCAGGCAACTGCATGAACTGAGGCTCATAGGCTTGACTAAAATCAGGCAACTGCATCAACTGAGGCTCATAGGCTTGACTGAAATCAGGCAACTGCATGAACTGAGGCTGATAGGCTTGACTGAAATCAGGCAACTGCATGAACTGAGGCTGATAGGCTTGACTGAAATCAGGCAAATGCATGAACTGAATCAGTTCAGCCTCAGCTATAAGCAATCAACTGCTTGAACTGCATCACTTCAGCTTCAGCTGTAATGAGCATATTACTTTCAAGAATGAGATTTTCAGCCTGAGATTTTTATGCCACAAATCAGAATTCACTTCTCGAAGACAGCTACGGTGACCTTAGAAGCTCAATTTTGAATAATTGTCTAATATCATAGCTTATTTTGAGATTTGATATTAGTCTCGTAGAACGAAGAATTATTGATATTAATTTCGTAGAACGAAGAATTGATATTAGTCTCGTAGAACGAAGAATTGATATTAGTGATATTAGTTTCGTAGAACGAGGAATTGATATTAGTTTCGTAGAACGAAGAATTGATATTAGTTTCATAGAACGAAGAATTGATATTAGTTTCGTAGAACGGAGAATTGATATTAGTTTCGTAGAACGAAGAATTGATATTAATTTCGTAGAACGGAGAATTGATATTAGTTTCGTAGAACGAATAATTGATATTAGTTTCGTAGAACGGAGAATTGATATTAGTTTCGTAGAACGAAGAACTGATATTAGTTTCGTAGAACGAAGAATTGATATTAGTTTCATGGAACGAAGAATTTATATTAGTTTCGTATAATCCTATCGTTATCATCATGGCTCTCATATCCCTTTTATTCTATGCTTCGTACACTGTTAGAAAAAAAAGGTAAAAAAACGGTCCCACTGGCGTTCTAGTGGCCGGTCGCCCCGTGAAAATAAACGGTTTCGCTGTTTTTATCAGATGTTTTACGGATTTCTAGCGTTATATTAGAATAAAAACGGCGACATGGTGTTTCTTTTCACGTGCCGACCGGCCACTGAAACGCCGGTAATACCGTTAACGGTAATTTTTCTAACAGTGTATCATCTCATACCACTGACCTTATACAATTGTTAAGTTCAATTTTGAATAATTTCCTAATATCATTGCTTATTTGGAAAATTGATATTAGTTTCGTAGTACGAAGAATTTATTTTATGTTTCGTATAATCCCACACTGTTAGAAAAATTACCGTTAACGGTATTACCGGCGTTTCAGTGGCCGGTCGGCACGTGAAAAGAAACACCGTCGCTGTTTTTATTCTAATTTAACACTAGAAATCCGTAAAACATCTGATAAAAACGGCGAAACAGTTTATTTTCACGTGGCGACCGGCCACTAGAATGCCAGTGGGACCGTTTTTTCACCGTTTTTTCTAACAGTGTATCGTTATCATCATGGCTCTCCTATCCTTTTTATTCTATGCCTCATATACAATTAAATTCATCACATCTGATATTTCTTCTCAATTTTTCTCACCTCAAACTCGCGCCTCTGCCTCTCCATCTCGCGCCTCACAAGAGTAACCTGCTCCTTTGAACCCGTGTCCTCAGAGGCCACTGAGGACACCGACGCTCTACGCCTCAGAGCCTCACACTCGGCCAGCGCGGCCTCACGGTCGTCAGTGAGGCGGCGAGCCTGCGCCCTATACCTGAGAGGCCATCACAGCATGAGAGGCCATCACAGCATGAGAGGCCATCACAGCATGAGAGGCCATCACAGCATGAGAGGCCATCACAGCATGAGAGGCCATCACAGCATGAGAGGCCATCACAGCATGAGAGGCCATCACAGCATGAGAGGCCATCACAGCATGAGAGGCCATCACAGCATGAGAGGCCATCACAGCATGAGAGGCCATCACAGCATGAGAGGCCATCACAGCATGAGAGNACCTGTTGTCAGCTGCACATCACACCTGTTGTCAGCTGCACATCACACCTGTTGTCAGCTGCACATCACACCTGTTATCAGCTGCACATCACACCTGTTCTCCAGCTCTGTCACTCTGCTCTGCCACTGCAGCTGTAGCTCCTCCTCCACGAGGCTGCGGTTGTCGCGTTCGTGCATCAGGAAGTCATGGTGCTCCTGCGGTAAATTTTACGTAAAATCAATGAACAATTCTTGATAATAACCATTATTTACTTGCATTGTAGCGCGAATTTTAGTTTTTTATTCAATTTTTTTACGTAAAATAATGAACATTTCTTGATTATAACCATTCTTTACATGCATTGCAGTGCGAATTTTAGCTTTTTTATTCAATTTTCTTATATTTATAACATTTTTTGGCACATATAATCCAACGGGACTTCTATCTAGACACCTCTACCTTGCGGCCTCTAATTGGTCCTAACCTAAACGCATCTAACTCTTAGCTGAAGTTAAATAGCAAATTGCAGGGTTATGACAATCTAAGGCACCCGATCTGATTATCCTAGCCGTTCTATTTTCTCATCAGTGTAATCCGAACCGATTAATTAAGAGTTGATATTTTTTACTTATATTTTACTGAAACTGCAAATCATTTTAATTGATTTGTGTTTATTAATCAAATTACTTGAACTCCTCCCTATATTAAACAAAAAACAGAGTTAAGACAATCTAAGACGCCCGATCTGATTGTCCTAACCCTTTTATTTGCTCATCAGTATCATACGAACCTATAAATTAAGACTTGATAATTTTTTACTTTTATCTTGACTCAACTGAATGTAATTTTAATTTGTTTGGGTTTATTAATCTATTAATCAAATGACTTGAACTCCTCACTAAATTAAGCAAAAAGCAGAGTTAAGACAATCTAAGACACCCGATATTATTGTCCTAGCCCTGCTATTTGCTCATCAGTATCATCCGTACCTGTTAATTAAGAGTTAATAATTTTTTACTTTTGTTTGACTCAACTGCATGTAATTTTAACTGGTTTGGGTGTATTAATCGAATTACTTGAATTCTTCACTAAATTATTGAAGCAGTTCTTAGATCCAGAATTCGTCAACGAAGGTTGCAATGTGTGCTAGGATGGTTAAAGACAATGATACTTGTGAAGAAACTATCGCATTTACGCTCAAAATAACATCATCGATCAATTCAAACCCAATTAATCATTGAATAATAATAATAAATATGAATTAATTCCTTCATTATCAATTAAAAATGAAACGTACATTTCTATGTTTGAATCAAAATCTTGACCTCCAGCGTGTAAATTTTAAATTTTTTCTAACGTGAGACTTTGTTTAGAATGCTCATTTGTACAAAAATTAAAACCAACATAAAAAAATTAAATGCAGCAAACAAGCCTTAGCGGTGATGAAGTGGTCGTCTTAAATCGACTTACGACTAACGTAAAAAATTGAACATACAAATAAAAACTGGACTTTGAAAAATTATTCCTCGTGAATCGAGTTACGACCAACATAAAGTCATTCAAGAGCTGTCGTTGACGGTGAGATAGTGGAAGTCATAAATGGAGTTACGACAAGCGTAAAGATATCGACCATACCAAGATAACCAAGACGGTGAAATCATAACCGTCGTAAATATCATTTGGCTATAAAGATATGAACATACCAAGCTGACCTAGACGGTGAAATCATAACCGACGTAAATATCTTTTGACTATAAAGATATGAACATATTAGGCTAACCTAGACGGTGAAATCATAACCGTAGTAAATATTATTTGTATATCAATTAAACGTAAAGCTCGTTACGACCGACGTAAATATACCGAACATTTACGCTAACCTTAAGGTTGTCAAGAGCTGCCCTGGCGCGGTCCAACTCGGCCAGAAGGTCGGCCTCCCTGCGCCGCGCGATGTCCAGGTCCTGGCGCAGCGCCGCGACACCCGCGCCGCTGTACGACAACTCCTCTAGCCTGCCAGACGCACGCTTCGTTAATACACGACAGGAAATATAAGCTCCTCTAGCCTGCCAGACGCACGCTTCGTTAATACAAGGCAGGAAATATATGCTCCTCTGGCCTGCCAGACGTACGCTTCGTTAATACAAGGCAGGAAATATAAGCTCCTCTAGCCTGCCAGACGCACGCTTCGTTAAGACAAGATAGGAAATATAAGCTCCTCTAGCCTGCCAGATGCACGCTTCGTTAATACGATGCAGGAAATATAAGCTTCTCCAGCCTACCAGACGTACGCTTCGTTAATACAAGGCAGGAAATATAAGCTCCTCTAGCCTGCCAGGCGTACGATTCGGTAATACAAGGCAGGAAATTCAAGTGTCGTACATGACATTTGAGTCGCCACAGCAGCGCTTCTGCATTTGACTCGCCACTACAAAAAAAATATATTGGTGAAACAAAATCTTTTCTTAAGAGTAATGTGTACGAATTTGAGTGCACTGATGTCTCACTTCACCTCATAATAGGCTTTCGCTCTCGGTGCTCTCATATTAGAGAGCATTAAGCTCGGATTTTTCTTTTTAATAAAGTTACACCATCGCTCTCGCTTCCTGCGGTGACCCAAACACTCTCCGCAAGGAAATATTCTCACACTCGTCGAGGGCTTCATCGAGGGCTTCAACTCTCACACTCGTCTAGGGCTTCAACTCTCACACTCGTCTAGGGCTGCAATAACTCTCACACTCGTCGAGGGCTTCAACTCTCACACTCGTCGAGGGCTTCAACTCTCACACTCGTCGAGGGCTTCAACTCTCACACTCGTCGAGGGCTTCAACTCTCACACTCGTCGAGGGCTTCAACTCTCACACTCGTCGAGGGCTTCAACTCTCACACTCGTCGAGGGCTTCAACTCTCACACTCGTCGAGGGCTTCAACTCTCACACTCGTCGTAAGCTTCAACTCTCACACTCGTCGAGGGCTTCAACTCTCACACTCGTCGTAAGCTTCAACTCTCACACTCGGCGAGGGCGTGTATTCCGAGTGAGAAATAACATATATACTGGAACGTGTCCTTATGTCATTATGTCATGTTTTGTGTTTCCTGGTCCAAGGCCGTGCTGATGCACCGCCTTCGTCGTCAACTGTCCCAAACCGTCAATTGGAAGATCGTCCAGCCATCAGGGTCCGGAGATAATGAGTAGGTTTCTAAGTATCAGTAACGAAAACGTCTTTGAATTTGGCAGAGCAGAATAATATATGTCACCATATCTTCTATGCAGCGGTCCTATGACTGACTGGAAGATGCTATAACAAACAAATGAATTTTGATTGTGTTGCCACTGAATATTGCTTCACTCACACTATTTTCACTCTACATTATTGAGATGGCAAATATCCAAACTCAAAGGATTTTTATACATTGCTAATCCATCCAATTATTTTTTACATTCCGGAACAATATTTATTCATTGAAGACATTCACTCAATACTCAAAACACAATTAAACTCACCGCCTGCGTAAGCTTTCACACTCCAGCTTGTAGAAGTGAACCTCTCCAGCTGCAGCTGCAGCTGGCTCTCCGTCCAGCTGTGGACAAAACCATCTGCATGACGTCAGCAAGTAATACTCTAGCACCAATATACTACTATACTATACTATACTATACTATACTATACTATACTATACTATACTAAACTATACTATACTATACTATACTATACTATACTATACTATACTATACTATACTATACTATACTATATACTATACTACTATATGTACTGTAGGTGATAAAACCATCTGCATGACGTCAGCAAGTAATACTCTAGCACCAATTACCTACATAAACTATATGTACTGTAGGTGGCAAAACCACATGTAGGACATCAGCAAGCAATACTGAAATACATATCACTCAACCTTTACTACACGAGCTTATGTTAGCTTAATAAATTAGAAAGAGAAACAAGTACAGGTTTAATAGTTAATTGGAATAAGCTCCGACTAAAAACTAATGGTATTAAAACAGAACAAAAACATGGGTCATTCTTCGTTTAATCAATGAGTTATATGCAAAACTGAATGCATCCAACAAAGTCATGAATGGATGGAATTTAAATTAAGTAACATAAAATATATTACCAATCCTGAAGCAAGCTGGAAGAGCGATCGACATTTGATATTGTACATACATTCTCCGTAGACTAAAATAAAATTTTCAGCATATGATAACAAAGTCGTGAATGGATGAAATGTAAATTAAGTAACATAAATTATATTACCAATAGTGAAGCAAGCTGGGAGAGCTATTGACATATGATATTGTGCATTTATTCTCCGTAGACTAAAATAAAATTTTCAGTATTTGATATTTCAGCTTTTTATTGAAAATTTTCAGCTTAATTATCAGTCAGATAAGATTACAGAGTTCCTTTATCAGAATATTTCTATTATATTATATTATATTATATTATATTATATTATATTATATTATATTATATTATATTATATTATATTATATTATATTATATTATATTATATTATATTATATTATATTATATTATATTATATTATATTATATTATATTATATTATATTATATTATATTATATTATATTATATTATATTATATTATATTATATTATATTATATTATATTATATTATATTATATTATATTATATTATATTATATTATATTATATTATATTATATTATATTATATTATATTATATTATATTATATTATATTATATTATATTATATTATATTATATTATATTATATTATATTATATTATATTATATTATATTATATTATATTATATTATATTATATTATATTATATNCTCTTACACCTGCACGTAGAGTGGCCTCTTACACCTGCACGTAGAGTGGCCTCTTACACCTGCACGTAGAGTGGCCTCTTACACTTGCATGCAAATGGCCTCTTACACCTGCACTACTCACCTTTTTATTCAATTATTTTCATACCTGTCACTACACATATTCTTTTCTGTTATATATATTCGCTGCGTTTAAAACACATTAATTATTTCAATCAAAATTTCAACACATTTTCGAATAAAACTTACGGCCGGCGCCCATTTTATCTCTCCATCTAAAGGAATAAATCCATGTCCCTGAACACAAATTTCCGTTTGATGGCAGAGTTTTAATGATTATTTTCGGCTTCAATCTTTAAAAAAAATAATTATGCAGCGCGATTTTGAAGGCAAAAGTGCTCTGGTATTGGGGCAGGCTTGCAGCCTATATTGAATATAGGCCTATATATAGGCTTATATATAGGCCTATATATAGGACTTCTCTCTGATCTAATTTAATCGATGCGGCGCTGATAACCTAAAAAAATAATCCTGCGTCAGAGGATCAAAGGATTTTCTTCGGAAGTGAAGGTTAGCTTTCACGGCAAATGCGTTGAAGTACATAAAACTAATCTTGATGACTATGAATATCATTTATTTTTTCTTTAACCGTCACTGCTATTTATTAGCTGAACTGAATAAACCGTAATTCAAATAAATTATGGTATTGATTTTTTTCATTTATTTTTGCTACATTCATAATGAACAATCATTAATGAACAAAAATATGGACTTCTCATGTCTTGTTACAGGAATTTCCGTACTAAAATAAAAAAATTCTCGCCTCAGTTAACATACCTTAGTAGGTATACCTCAGTGAGCATACCTCAGTAAGCATACCTCAGTAAACATACCTCAGTCAGCATACCACATTAAATATACCTCAGTAAACATACCTCAGCAAGCATACCTCAGTAAGCATACCTCAGTAAACATACCTCAGTAAGCATACCTCAGTAAACATACCTCAGTAAGCATACCTCAGTAAGCATACCTCAGATAGCATGCCTCAGTAAACATACCTCAGTAAACATACCTCAGTAAGCACACCTCAGTAAGCATACCTCAGTAAGTACACCTCAGGAAACATACCTCAGTAAGCATACCTCATTAAACATACCTCAGAGGCTGTGTGTGTTAACATGTAGGCAGCTGTGTAGTTTGTGTCGCGTGACATCAAAATAAAAAGATTGTGTTTCTCACACAAATAAACTAGTGTGTTGCGTCACCAGAATTACTTTACACCATCAGTACAGTCTTGTGCATGTGAAGTCATGTTTTCTTTTTTGATGTGGGACTTGCTTTTTGATTTACCTACGCCAGTGAAAAATATCGTCTAATTTTAAATAATTATTTAATTAGTTATTTAATATCATTTAAGAAAATTGAATCTAATTAAGGAATTAAATTGAATTGAAATATCAATAAGAAAATTGGTAATCAAATCCATGCTATGGTTTAAATATAATTTGTATAAAGAAATAACTTCCGCGAAATTATACAAACAAATTGATATGTCCTTATAAGGAAGCCAGAAGTATAAGGATTAGTTAAACCGAATTCCTGCTGAGCTGTGTTGAGTTAATATAGGCTATTATATTATGTTAAAAGAGGGTATTAGTTTTATAAATATTTGTCAATGTTTGTTTGCGTGTTTGTAGCTTGACACCAAATACAAAATGTGTCCCACAAAAATGTCCACGACTATTTAATTGATTATTTCTACGCATCAAATCAGTGTATTTTCATTTTTATAAAATATACGTTTTTTATGCAAACTATATATTTTATTAAACTTTAAATTAATAATTTGCTGCCTTTTTGAACTGGTCTTTGTTAGCATTTTTTTACAATGAACAAAATTATAAACAATAATTATTATAAAAATTTCCCTTTCTTCTAGCATTCTCTTTACCCTTTTTGGTAAAATAATAAGTTTGAACTGGTTTTTCAAAAGCTATAGTTATTCAAAAACTAAATAAAGTTTTCTACGTCGTGAAACAAATTAAACTATTTTAATTTTTAACGAAAAATTAATAAATTACCAAGAATTAATTTGTTATTCGACTGTTGGCGCGCGTCTCCAGCATACTTATCGTGTCGGGATATTAGCTACCCTCTCAAACAGTCTTTTCATGTTTTAAAACGATAGTCAAATGAGCTTTATTTGTTCTATGTAAAATTTTGGTTTTCTATATAAAGAAATAAAATTTAAATATATTTTTGGTATTTATTAATTAGCATAAATCTTTATTGATATTGACGTTATTAAGTGCAACAGGAATTAAATGACTTGAGGTAACGGGATTTTAAATTGCTGGGAGTGTCGAGCCTGGGCAACGCCGGGCTAACCTGCCTAGCATGACATAATTTTGTCATAATTATGATTTTATATGTTCATTACGAAAAATATCGCGATTATGAATTAAATCAACACTGTTACCAGTATTAAATACTGATTTTTTCCGATGACTGTAGTTAACAAAGCAAATGCATGCCTAATGCTTCAATCGACTATATGCGTTATGAATGATCACCGTAGTTAACTGAACACCCAAGAGCCCAATTATGATTCAAAAATCCGATATACTTTATTCCAAAATTCCAATTGAACTTAAATTTCATGTCTCCCATACTTCTGGACTCACACGAACCTTATTATTAACTTCTTCCGTCAATCACCTTACTTTTCTGTCAACTGCCGTGACAAATGACCGCTCAAATAAAATTCCGGACTTTTCCGTTGGCCCCGATAGACAATCAAAGGCGGAATTTTGTAGACTAAATGCAGGGTTATCGCTGGCCTGCGGTAGCACGGCCATAAATGATTGTAAACATAGTCACCGCGTAATAAATGCATTCTTGCTTCCTTTATTTTCCCCTAATTTTCACTTTATTTTCTCATCATTTTCCCATCGTTTCCATATCATTTTCTCATCAATTCCCCATCATTTCCCATCATCTTCTCAATAAATAATGAACATGGTGACCGTTGACCTTGAAGGACAATCAAAAGCGGAATTTCGTAGACTAAATGCAGGGTTATCGCTGGCCACCGATAGCCCGGCCATAATTCCACGCGAGGATAGAATGCCTGATCGAGAAGGACAAACGCGTTCATTCTATGGCGCCATGAAACAGCCTCTCTGTCCTTCTAGTTCTATGGGATCTTCAATGAGATATGCGTGATGTGAGGTATGTGGATAATGTATACAACCTACTACATGAATCATGTATTTGAAGTATGGGAATAATGTATACTGTACAACCTACTACATGAATCATGTATTTCAAGTATAGGGATAATGTATACTGTACAACCTACTACATGAATCATGTATTTGAAGTATGGGGGGGGGATAATGTATACTGTACAACCTACTACATGAATCATGTATTTGAAGTATGGGGGGGGGATAATGTATACTGTATAACCTACTACATGAATCATGTGTTTGAAGTATGGGATTAATGCATACATCGTACTAATGTATCATCTAATTCAACATGACGTGGAGTATGGGGATAATGTATACTCGTACAACCTATTAGATGAATCATCTATTTCATGAACAATGTCAGGTCTTATGACTCAGGAAGCACATAAATTGTAATCGAATATTTAGCTATAGAAACATCTCTGTTATTGTTTTTCAAAGTCACCACGAACTAATTTGCAATAGGAAGTTTTGAATGGACATAGATATGTGAATTAAACGCAAAGAAA